CAAACTGGGAGCAAATGGGTGGTTTCTTTTGACTCTTCTGCGGTGAATGACGGAAGATACAGTACAGAGGTGAAAAGTGGGTGTCTTTTTAGCAAGCTGTGTTGGAAGGAGAAGATATCCTGGTCAAAATAATGGTGTGTGTCTAGTTTAGAAGGAATTAGTTTGTGAGAGGCACTTGAATAGGCTTAAAATATAAAAGGTTACGAGGCAATTGTTTTTCTCCATATTCACCGAGTGTTGAACAAGAAATAATTGAGTATTAGCAAGGTTGATTTTTTTATTTATTTTTTTTTTTAAATTGTCTTGGTGCAGATGTAAACTCTCTAACCACGGGGATGAGCTGCTGAGAGCATTGTGTAACCTTGCAATTAGAGGTGTTAAAGAACAGGCTGGAAAAACACCTGTTTGAAACTCATGCAGATCCACCTGCACGTGTTTCAGAGCCCAGGGATGGGCTCCCTGACCTCTCCCGATCCTTTTCCAGCTCTGTCGCTGGGTGGTTTTCCACGCAGCCTCCTCTTTTGTAGCGGGGAAGTCAGAATGGAGGCTGTTTTATTTGTTCACGTAGCCTTTTAATCCCTGGGTTGATGGAAAGCAAGGACAGCCCTGGCAGGAGCTTTTCGGTTGTTCTCAGTTATCCCTGACCAGGCGACACCTGTGAAGGGGCTGAGGTGGAAGGAGAGGCCCCCTCAGTTGGAGGCACCGCTTTGTTGGGCCCGGCTCCTGAAAACACGAGTGGGAGAGCCGGAGGGGTGCGATCTGAGGAACTGCTGGCACAGCCTTGCTTTTTCCTCCTGGTGGAGATCACAGTTGGCTGTTCCCGACAGAATCGAAATCTCCATCCCTCCATTTGTAGTTTAATGTCCTGCTCCCAGGCCTCAGGGGTAGCTGACTTTAACTCGTCACCTATTGTCCCTTATTGTTTTCCAAAGGTATGGTGAGCTACCATGAAGCAAAAAATATGAATAAAAATGAGGAATTCAGCCTTATGGATGTTTTAGGTTGAGGGTTTTTGTTGGTTTGGGGGTCGTTTGTTTGGTTTTTTCCCCCTCCCATGTATTATCTTTTCCCCACAAAACTCTTTGTGCCCAGAACATCAGTTCTGGAAGCTTTGTTCACCGCTTAAAATGGTGGATATTTCTAAATCTTTCTAAAAAAATGGGGTAGAGAATGCACTGAAATTGGTCTAGTCTGCTTCTAAAATGGCTTTGTGGAGACTATGTTTTTTGGGGGTTTTGTTTGTGTTATTTTTTGGTGTATTTGTTTTTGTTTGTTTGGGGTTTTTTTTCAATTTTTCTACCTATAAAAACTGTTTAAGCTTCAGCCCAAATGAATTGAGAACATGTGTATCATATCATTGTAATAAAAAAGATTTTTACAGAGTTTATCCACTCCACAAACTTTTCCTTTACTGCTTTTTTTTTTTAATGCCAGTGATATATCAAGAATGATTGATTAATTGTGCTTTATATAGGAAAAACAGACTTAAAGACTTCATGTGTTTTCCAGCTTAATTTTTTTATTCTAAAATCTTGCTCTAAATGCAGAATGTCATCAATTGCAGGGGGAACCCCCCCCCAATGTTTTTATTTTTAAATATGAAACAAAACATTTTTTTATTCAAAGTGATGAACTTTGTTTTCTCATTGGAAAATTTCTCTGAGGCTTTTCTGTTTCTGCAGAAATAAATTGTAAGGTACAACTTTTATAACAAATCACCATTTATGCTGGGAAAAGTTTCATCCCAAGTCCTCTGACCATTAGTAATGAAAAAAAAAAAAAAGCACAAACAAAACAAACAAAACCAAACCCCACAGTCTGTTTGCTTTTGTTCGAAGAGAAATTCTCCCATGTTTTGACCTCACTCCCATCTTCCAGCCAAAACACTTGGCAAAAGGCCCCCACTGCTTTTGGAACTGCGTTGTGGAGTGGGATCAGCATCTCCATAGGCACTTCTCCCCCCAGTACAACATAAACATGATTTTAAATAGTCTGTTTTATCGCTGCTTTTATTTGCAGCCCAACTGACATAATTAGAGACGATCTGTGTGATTTAGACTACCAGTTTTACCTCTGCCTTGGCCCTTCTTGCCTCTGTGTGCTGCAAAGCTCCTGTGAGGGAGGTTGGTCAGTCCTAGAGGAAAGAAGATATCCAAGTAGTTCACTGTCAAGAAGTTAATTTAATGTGAGATCCTTGTACAGTTGCTTCATCTACGTGGTTTTTCCTCCCCTCTCCTCCCAGCCATCCTTCTCCCAAGCTTTTCCAGTCCTCAGGGCCCGGCTGCAGGTGTTCTCTGCCCTCTCCTAAGATCAGGTGGGATCAATGAGCTCTGTAGCATTTCTCCCCAATTTAATATTGCCATTTTTTTTTCCCCCCCTCCCCAAACCTGTATCAGCGGATCTTTGTTACAGCAAATAAATTCCCCCTTCCCGGTTGTTTATCCCTTAGCCTGGTGCATGTTTGGCTGTGATAGGGAGCACTGTTACATCTGTCCATGTTAATGTGCCCGTGCTGAGCTGTGCCCCTGGGTGGCCTTGTCATACACAATCAGTGTCAGCCTTCCTTGTGCTTAGTGTTTGGGTTTAAATAATCGTATTTTACTTCTTGGAGACGGTTCTTTTCAGCAGACCACGGAATGTCAAGTGGACATTATCATTAGTTCGGGCCCCAGTCCTGGGGCAAATTAAATGTTTGAGTATTTACTGAAAAATCCCCTTCCTTTGGGTGAGAAGATAAATTAGATTTTTTTTTCTCTTTTTTTACTCTCGGAGGTTTCTTGCACGTTGCAGTGGGGGTGACTGAAAAAATAAAGCACTTGATTAATTCATGTTTACAATATATGAATTTAGTTTGGATATCAACTACCCAGAATTCTTTGCTTTGGAGGCAATTGAAAATCTCAGGGAATTTTTCGTAGTCCCACATTTCAGGGAGGAAGGATATAAAAGGGAACAGTTGCTCTCATAATATTTGGTTCTATCTGTGCCTTTTCTGTGTTGAAAGATGAAAAAGGCAAATGAAATTTAAGGCATTATTTATAAAGTGCAGAGTCTCCATCAACCAGGAGTTATGAATTTAGCTTAAGCAACAGGTGAGGGTTCAGCTAATTCTCATTTTATTGACACTGATTTACACATCTTGACCTGTTTTCTAGAGCAGAAATGTTCTAGATGTGTAATTTCTGATGTGATTTGTAATTTTTGGAGTTGCTCGCAGCAATCATTGTCCCTAGATTTGAGTCTTTTTTTATTTGTAGAGCAAAAAAAATTAAATGAAAAAAAGAGGTTTTGTTATTCTAAGATTTCTGGCTTTTTTCTTATCTGAATTTGTCATAGTCTCAAGAATGTTCTATAGGCAGTTGTTTGTCCTAGAAACCATCATGGTTACTAAATATATGGAATTAAAAAAAAAAAAGAAAAAAAAGAAAAAAAGAAAATCAAGGTTGTGCTGAAATGAATGTAGTTAAAATTCAGAAAGAGAGATTCCTTAATTAACTTAATAAAATTACTAATGGAAGCATTTTAACTGCTAAATTTAATTTACTTGTCAAGATATCAGGCTACAAAGAGGAGGGAAGAGTGGAAACTCTGCTTTCCATTATGATGTGCTCTATTATAGAATAAATTTGCTTAAAATGAAATATATCACAAAAAGCCATCAATGACATCTTAATTTGGAACAGCCAGTTGAAAAGTAATTAGACTGTGAAGCAATCAGTTCTAGTAAATCAGTGTTTCCCTTTACATAAACATACGTTTTTACTATTTATAAACAGGAGAGACTTCCAGAGACTCGAGTAGCAAAGACTTTGATTGTGTTTCTGCTGTCTGTGTGTTCTATTTTACATCACAAAACTGTCAAAACACGAAGAATGGGGGGCTGGGGTTGGAACTGATCCAGCAGAACGTTTCAGCTGAGCTTTGGTTTGAGCTGTTCCCTCTCAGGACGGGGCTCTGTGGGGCCTCCTCCTTCCACGGGCAGAGGTTCATCTGTGGTGGTTGAAAGGTGGGAACACGGGAAAGGGATTGTGGATGCTTGGAGGGGTCCCTTCCTCACGTCTGTTGGATTCCTGGAACAGCTCAGTAATGGCTGGTGGTTGTAGAGCAGATTCCTTGCAAAATGAAAGTAATAAATTAGGAGGAAAAAATAAAGACCAACTTTCACCTTAAAGATTGAAGTGTTACGAACCCCTTCTTGCATTTACCGCTTTTAAGGCCCTGTATGGATTCCCGTGGACGTAGTGACTCCCATATCCCATTCCCCATATTCCTGGGGAGAGGCAGGTTGTGCTTGGAGCTTAAGGTTTGTGTTGGAGGATCTGATAAATACCAGGAACTTCGCTCCCCAAAGGATCTTTGTGGATGTAAACGTGGAGCTCTACCTGTTGTTTTACTTTCTGAAGCCTGATGTTTGTGGCAGTGGGGGAAGGTGGAATTCTGCCGCTTCCTTAGAATCAGGGAAGCTTTGGAGATAAGGATGGAAACTTACAGACTGTAATTCTTACCAAGAAATTACTAATTTTTAAACCTTACAACAGATGCATTAAGTGAGAACAAAGGGGGTTACTTCTTTCATGACACAGGAGTGGTGGTACAGATCAGAACCTCACTGGTTTGAACTGGGGTGGTATTTTGGTGTTTTTCATGAGCTGCACAGACGTGCTGCAGCTGTGGCCAAGGTGCCAACCAGAGCTCCCTCCACACTGGGGCAGGAGAACAGCTGCTTCCACTTGGATTAGTGGTTGGGAACCTGTAAATGATAGAAGTGCTTATTGCAGCCAAAGCCGTGGAGGGGCAGTGCCAAGTGAATTAGATCAGCATTAAATGATTTTAGTGAGTGTGCTGAGAAGGAATACCCAGAGAACTCCAGCAGCACAGGCAGCTCGCTGGAAAGTGACACCTGTAGTGAAAACTTAATTCATCAAAGTCCTTTTAGCCGTGAGTTTCTCTCTTTCTGCCGGGCAGTGCACAAACTGAAAGTTTATTTTTGTTTTTCACAGGTTAGGTGCAGTTTGCCTTAGAAATCATAACTGCCATACTTGGGTGCAGCAAAGTGTGGAAGCTCCTGAAGCCCAGGCTCATTATCCAGAGAAAACAGCTGTAAAGGTAAGTGTGATAGTTGGAACACAACTGCTTTCAGTAAATATTCTGTTTATAAGGCAGCGTTTTTTGCAAGCAGCAAGTTTATTAATAATTCTGATTTCATCTGTTTCCTTTTAAATGAATGTATTTCTACTGTAAATTCCAGGAATTCAAGATGTTTTGAGCTGAAATGCAGAATGTTCTGTGAATTGTGATTGTGGACTTTCTTTTGGGAACTTTTATCAGTGAATGTACTTTGGTTTTTATGCCACTGGGAAAGAACTCTGTGAATCACTGTTTATCTGATAGAGGCACCTGCTGGTAGGGCAAAATGCTTTTGCCTTTGTTTTGGTCACAAGACCCTTAGTTTCGGTATTAGAGGTCACAAAAATCAAGTTTTTCCTTTAGTTCCAGAACGAGAAGGTTCCTCAGTTGGTTTCATTAAGCAGCTGAGATGCACGGTGGCATCTGCAGCAAGTTTCATATTTTTGGGGCAAAAGTGAGGAGTTGATCCAAGATCAACTTGGAAAGGATGTGCAGGCAGGCACCTAATTCTTGTCTGCTAAAGGGCTGTGTTCTTCAGGTTCTTTATCACGTGAAAAAGCTCCATCTTCAAAGGTAAATCAGTGGCCGTTCAACACAGAGTGTGCTGTTTCTGGCTTGTGCTTTTTTGGGGGAGTTCTCACCGCCTTTTTTACCGATTATAAACTTGCAGCGTATGATTTTCTTTGTCTTCCTGATGCTGTAGGAGGGCCAAAGGCAGTTGAAAGTGTTGTTGTTGTTGTCTTGCTTCTCTTCCCCCACTGCCTTTCATTCTCACACAAAGTAATAAGCAGAGAAGAAGAATAAACACAAGAAAACCAAGTTACATTTTGATGTGAGCACAGCGCGCCTCGTGACCATGACTTGTGTACCAGCGAGCTTCAGTTTCCTGTTGACTTGGTGGCATGATATTTAACATTCTCTTTTATAAGTTTGTTGTTTACAGCAATTTTGCGTTTCTGCTTAGCCTAATGATTACAAGAGAGTCCACCCGGGAGAGTTCAGCCTCCAGCCTTTGAAGGCCTCATTTGAACAGGCTTGCAACTGTAAGGAATGGCTTGAGGCTGTGCTATTTAACACAAAAGAGAACAGGAAAAACCCAACAACAACAACAAAAAAACCCCCTCTTCTTATTTTTGTTTGTCCGTATTCTGGATTCGTAATGGCTCTCAAAATATAGGTCAAAGATATGTGCATATGTAGTAAATAAAGGCTGGGGCTGCTGCACTTGTTACTCGAGGGGATGAGGCGCTTTCTCTGAAGGCACTGAATGTTTAACACATCCCCCAGCCCTTCCTTACCACTGTTGTTCTTGCTCCTGCTTGTTGTTTGGTATTTTGGCTTGTACACACCGACTCTCCTTCCACTCCAGCTTTTTTCTTACCCCTTCCGAAGGGGAGGGAGGATGTGCAGCAGCAGCAGCTTTTGCACACGCCTCAGGTGGTTTCCCTCAGTAATTTGCGTTCCATGATGCGCTTGGTGTTTCTGGATTCTTCCTTCCCATTGAGTAGGAAGGAAAATTCCATGTATTGGCAGGAGATACGAATTCAGCTGCTGGGGTGGCAGCCCAGCCCGGTCTGTCTGTGTCCCCCTGTTGTCAGCCCCGTGTGCTGGGTGTGTCGAGACCTTCACTTTTTATTTACAAGGGCTATTTTCACGAGCTTTAAGTTAACCTCTGTGATTTATATCCTGGTACCTATTTAATTACACTTTCGTCTGAGTTTTGTGCTATCACCGAGGGTTTAACGGAGAAGATCCTAATTGGGGCTCTCTGTAGTTTGCACATGGTGGTCCCTTGCTGAGGCACTGATTTTGTTTTTAACACACAATATCACAGATGCATTAAGCCAAAATTTTTCAGACAATCACAGCAGTTCAGAAATAGTATCATTTAGTGTTGATTTTTTTGTTGTCATTATTCCCTCCCCACCCACCCCTCATTCCTTCGTTATCTTTAGCATGGGAATGCGCAGGTTACAGGCTTTATTAATTTGGATATAATGGAAGAGCAGGCCAAGGGGAAGCAGCTGCAAGGCAACTTTTAAATGTGAATTACAACACGGTACATGAACTTCATGGTATAAATCTCATAGCTCTTAATAGGTTTGGGACACTAAAATATTGTGCAGGACACGGTATGTGTGTTGGGTAGTCTCATTTCCCATTGATCTGGATGTAAATATCCTCCTGATTGGAGCTGGTTCCCCAGCACCTTCCTGAGGGGAAAAGTGCCGGAGAACCACAGTCCTTGGTGCTGCAGTTCCAGATTTTCAGGGTGAGCTGAGTTGGTAGGGGACAAGGTCCAAACTGAATGTGAATCTGTCCAAGGGTTACAACTAATGGGTTTTTCTAGAAATCCCTGCCTTTTGAAAGGGGATAAACCTTCAGGGTCTCTCTCCTCATGTACTGAATCATGTCCTTACCTTTTGGACATAATTTAAACCTTTTTTTTATTTCCCCCACCGGTTTGAATACTTAGAATAGTTTTTAATTTATCCACAAAAGGGGTTGTATAAATAGATTTTTGAAATATAATCCACGTTGAAATTTTATAGCTAAATATAGTTATTATCTCATGTGGTGCACTTTGCAGCAGGTTCCTAACTAGTTGATTACATCATTGGCTGCTGACCTTACCTCTGCTGTCTAGAAAGGGGGAAAGCGAAATTAAAAAGGGAGATGAGCTTCCACAGGAAGGGAAGCTGGGGAAAGACACGCTTATTAAGCTGCACCTATGCAGCATCTCAGCTTCAGGCAGCTCCCAGTGTGGTGGGTTCCACTGCCATCACCCAGCGGTCCCACTGACAACCAGCTGGAGCAGCTGCTTGGGGGACAAGTCAGAGTGAGCGTAGCAGAGAACAGACCCTAAAAAAGAAATCTTCAAGGCAAGCAGATGTTGTCAACCACTCTTTTTTTTTTTTTTTCCTTCTTTCTTTTTAAGCACTTGTTGTTCTTAAGAAAAGGAAAAGGATTTGCTGCTTTTTTTCCACTTTGCTCCTTGTCCTTAATGTATGAAGTAGCTCTTAGAGCAGCCGCCTTCGTGTGCCTGTGGTACCCAGGACAGCGCTGATGATAATGGCAATAATACTTATCACTTAAATGACATTTTGCAAATTCAAAGTGTTGTGCAACAAACATTAATTAGCTCTCACAAGAGCCTCGCTGTGAAGTAGGTAAGTGCTGTTATTCTCCAGTGACGCATGGGGGGAATCAAAAGCAAAGAGGTAAATCCTTCAGGGACTCCCAAGGCTCAGGCAGGGATTGAAGCTGGGAAGTTTGTGCTCCCCAACTCGTTTTGTAGAATGCACTGGTTGTATCTTAGTTTACATAGAATGCACTGGTTGTATCACAGTTTACAGATGTGCTCCTAGATCCATAAAAAAGTAATTTAGCACACCAGTTCTGCCACCATTGCACCTTCAGGTGGAGCTGACAGGGCTGTGCCAGTGATTGACAGAGGAACTGCTTGAGTGCCCCAGTCATAAACCCAGGCTGTTCTGTCAGAGCATTTTTGGGCACTTTTCCTTGAATGCACCAGAGGTGTGGTGGGCAGAAGAAAGCTGAGGTGTCAGTGTGATGGAATTATCCACACACAGGGCAAAATGGACTATTTTATTGTGCAGAGATATTATACCAGAACTTCAGAGCAATGTAGCAGCAATGGCTGCTGATACCGTGAGAAAGAGGAGTGATGTCATAAATCACAGGATGGCTTGGGTTGGAAGGGATCCTCTCGTTCCAACCCCCTCCCATGGACAGGGACACCTTCCACCAGCCCAGGTTGCTCCAAGCCCCGTCCAGCCTGGCCTTGGACACTTCCAAGGATCCAGGGGCAGCCTTAACTTCTCTGGGCAACCTGTGCCAGGGCCTTACTGGGTGCTCTTTGAGGTCCCTTCCAACCCAAGCCATTCTGTGATGACTCCCAGATCATTTTTTCCAGGACACTGGCTATATCTGCGTTTAAAATGTCAGGGATCAGCCCAAACTGATTGACGCTGCTTTGAATGTCCCTCTGGCTTTCCCAGGATCTGTGCAATTACTCCTCAGTTCTCGTGCTGTGGGTATTGGCAGCTACTTTGAGTGAAGGCTGAAAATAGCAGATACTCACAGGTGTTTTAAGGTTTGATACCTTGGAAATATATAGTAAATTAATTATCTTTGAATTCCATACCTTTTTTTCCGTTTTCCACCCGTTCTCAGTTAACTGTTTCTGCAAAGGCAGAAGAGGAACCTGAGAGCTGTAGCTGGATAGAAGGGCTATTTGAAATCATTTTAGGGACAATGGGATGAATTCAAGCTTTGTGTGTGTCTGTATACACATAGGAACAGTAGGACGTTTCCCACTGGACTAAGATAATTTTAAGGCAAAGTGCATTTTTTGCATAAACATCTTCTCTTTTTCACTGCATTCCATGATACAGCAGGTTTAGGACTCTGCCCACCATGAGGTGAGTTGTACAGATATTTGTTTGTGTTTTTATGAGTAGCCAAAGGAAACATGATTAAAAATCAGAAAGCTCTGAAGAAGAGTCACTTCTGTGTGTGTGTGTGAAGTCAACAACTGCAGCAAAATTACAGCACGTTGTCCTGTAATTGTTGGTCTCATGGTATCATAACTGCAAAGGTGCCTGTGCAGCCCATTTGATTGAGAGGAGGGAAAAAGCTCAAGCAAAGCAAAATACCTTCAAAAAACTAGGCAGAATTTGTGTTCTGAATATACTTCAGTGAGTCTGAACACTGCAACACACATGACAAATAAAAATCGTGTTGTGTTTGGAGACCTCTGCAACCTCAAATCATTGCTCACAATTTATTTGCTTTTCTTCTTGTAAATCAAAACTTTATTGTTTGAATATATTTATGGCATTCAATTTCCTCCTTTTTTTCCAATTTTTTTTTAGTGGGGCTACAGGAGAAAAGAGAGCAATTTCAGTGCTTTGCCTTCCCCTTTCTCTTCATTTTAGTGTGTGCTGTAGCACATG